ATGAATATTTCTAAAATCTTCTACCGCATTACCGACATGTCTATTTAAATCTCCTTCAATAAAAATTATTTCTTCAAGAAGTATGATTTGTATTAATTCCTTTAGGTCATTCCAGAATTTTTCTTTAGAACTTATATCTAAACATACTTGAGGAACATAAGCACTTATGATATTTAAAATCTTAGTATCAATAACAGTCTAAAGGGTTATAATTCTATCATCAATTCTATAAACTTTGACTACATTATCTTTCAAAATCTTACTATAATTATACCTACACCATTTATAGTGCGACTTTTATCTGAATACTAAAGTTTAAAATCTAAGTTATCAATCTTCTTAACATTTCTCCAACTCATTTAATTTTTTAATGCATAAGATATTTATCTTTCTATGAACCAAAATATCCACTAATTCCATTAATTTAACTATGAGAGTACCCATATTCCAAAATTATATCCTAATATTAGTTTCATGGACTAACTTATTTACCAACATTCGTCTGTAATGTGGGAATTCTTACTTATTTGACGCTACTCTCGAGCACCGGTGTAGCGACTCTTACACATTTTTCATTGTATTCAGGTTATACATGGTGTCGCTTCGAAAGGATGTCCTAATATTTACACAAAGATCAAAAGACTTTTGTCATGATTTTTCGACAAATTTTATTTTGTTTGTTGACGACCTAACGCAACTCTCTACTTTTCACATCTGCGGCTTGGGACCCATCAAAGGCAATGTTGAGGACAATGAGAATGTGGTTAATATATTTGTGGAAGCAGATATTCAACCGTCTTCGCACTGTAATAAACAAGCATTTGAATTAAGTTTTGAATCAGAAAGTATAAAAACATCTAAAATAAGAAATTAAATGCATATTTTTTTATATAAAGAAAATAAAAAAGAAGTTGCTAGAAGGAAAGAAATGAGACAATGGATGACACGAAGCATAAGGTTTGCAGACCACGAAAATCGCAGAACAATGGTTTGTGAGTTTGTTCGCGATCACGTCAGGGACGATCCGCAAGATATGCTTATTTCTTTTTTCCTTTTAATTTATTTCTTTCCTTTTATGTTTTCTTTCCTATTTTCCAATTAGGTGATTTCCTCAAGAGACTTTTATATAGGTTGTATTAAGGTTTTGGAATTCAACTTTGTATGTATTTTATAATGTGAGAGTCGGCGGGGTCTCATATGTTCCCTTCTAAGATTTGTATCTAAGAGCAAGTGATGTTATGGCTATATCTCGTTCCGAGGTGGTGACAATCTTCGACTTCCCCACCCTCCGCAACCTTCCTTTTGTTGTTGCAGTTGACGTAACTGCTGCAGCCACCCCTAAGACAACAGCTTTGTTGTCTCCTACAATCCTGTACCTCACTGTCGCCTCCTCCCTTGTTGTTTTCATGCAACAGTCAACCCAACACCTTGTCATCCAACTTCAACAAATCCCCTCACTTGCCTCGAGCAATCCCTCAATCTTTCACCACACAATATCCCAGCCGTCCTCCACTTGTAGTTATGTCTCCCGCCCACACCGCCTAATGCTTGTGTCCATCTCCGATTATCCTTCCTCCACTTGCACGACCTCCCTATCCCATCCCCCTACTCTACACCAGCCCTCCTCCCACCACCGTAAACCTACCAACATGTTGCTCCACCGCCCTTGCTACAACCAATTACCACCACCTTGGGATACAACTTTAATCATGTTTGTTTGTGTCTATTGTTGTTATTTCCCTTTATGTGTGTATGTTGTAACTGTCCATTGGTTTTTCTGTAATAATATTTGTTTGTCTATTGTCATTTGGGTTAACTCTGATATTATTTTGAAATCAGAAATAGCATAACTCTAATCTTAACCTACGGTTACCGAAGTCCCCCATTACTTAACCTAATCTCCACCCCAAATCCTTCCAATTGTCGATACTTCAAACCGGCCACCAAAAATTCTTTTTTGTCATATATCACACCCATAAACCTTATCCCACCTACCCAAAACCAGATCCCTATCATGCCATTGAGGAGAAAATTGTTAGAAACCTGATCAGGAAGAATGAACGATGCCTCTTATGAAGGATATGCAGTGGGAAATCCTCCACAAAGAGGTGTCTCAGAAATTTCTAGGAAAGATATGCAGTGGAAAATCCTCCAACTGCAACAGAGGTCCGCCGCCTTTAAGAGGATAATATCCAAAGGGGTCACACAAACTCCATTTAATTCCAAGGATGAACTAGTACCCCAAATATTTGACGTGAAATATTAGAGAAGCCAAAATTTTGAAGCAAATGAGGATATACCATATTTTAACGCCCACATGGATCTAGACAAGTTCTTCAAGTGGCTCTGGACAACAGAACTCCTCTTTGAGTACTAGGATGTCTCACCAAACAAATGGTCAAACTAGCAACCAGCAATTTAAGGAAGAATGCATCTCTATGGTGGGCAAACTTGAAGAATCTTTGATAGCGAAAAGAGAAGAGTAAAATTACTACCTAATCTAAAATCAAACGAGATATGCAGCGCTAGTACCAACCAATTCGTTACAGATAGCATGTTAGACCCACGCTTCAAAAATAGAGAGACAAGCTCGCCGAGTGGCGGTCACATCTTACATGCAATTCAACCCCAGGAGAAAGCAGCAAGATCACACACCACAAAGCATCCAAGCCAACCCTGCCTGAGGAGAAACTAGTTCGGAGTGGAGAAAGGTGGATGCCAACCAACATTCCTAAATGTGTCCCGACCACGAACTGTTTCAAGTGCCACGAATTTGGCCATATTGAATCAGATTGCCCAACCAGAGGAATCATCCCTTTCCCTTAGCAAGTAGCAATTAAAAAAAAAGAAAGTATCACTGAAAAGGATGAAGAAGTTAGAGATGACCCTCAACTTCAAGCAAACGAGAAAGAGACACTAGTTATTCAAAAATGACCAACAAGAGACTCCAGCTGGATTAGTCGAGGTTGTTCTAGAAGATAGTGAGTTCGAGAAAATGAGAATTCATATAGAGTTTGAAATTTGTGAGATCTTGAACTTGACTTTTTGCAGATATTAAGAGGAGCATCAGTGGGACTAGCATTAGATGTACAAAAGTGCCATGAGTTTGAAAAGTCGATACCATAAACAAGGCAACCTCATATGAGAAAATTTTAGAATTTTTAAATATATAATCAACCTCTTGAATTGCCCCTACTGAGGGAGGTCCAATATATCAGAGAATAGAAGCTTTGAGCTACTTCTAAGTTCATATAGGGTCATTTGAGTATTAAATTCAACATCTTTTTCACTAATGTGGCAGTAAAAAAAAATATTTTAATATTATTAATGATATTAATAACACTAAGGTAGATAGTGTTTTTAAAAACTTTCTTGAAAAGTTTTCTCTAAGAAAAACACTATTTGTTTTTCACCATTAATACACTTTACTTGAATTTCTAGCATTAAAATGAAAAGAAAAAGAAAATACCTTCTCTTATTTGGTTGCTTATATTTATTAAACAAATAGAAAATAAAGATTTCACTCATTAGAGAGTTAAAATGAAATCATTGCTTTTGAGGGAATTTGTAGTGTTTGAACTCAATATTGGTCTCTAATTGCATCCAACCAAATGGTACATTTGACAAATTACATTTGTCAAAACATCTTTTCAAAATCTAAGAAACCAAACAATTTCCTAGGATACATAAAACAAATGATAGATTTGACAAACTTTATCATTTTTCAAAACTACTTTTCGAAATACAAGTAACCTAATGATCTTTCATGGAAAATGAACTAATTGATCAAGAAAATTGCATGTGAACAATGAATTAATATATAATAGCCAAAAGCAAAGATATAAACACAAACTCTCAATGGAACTCAAAATTAGTACAACAGCATATAAACAGAACAATATCCTTATCTATACTATAGTAGATATCAAATCAACTTCAAGTTTGGCTAGCTATAAATAAAAAATAATGATAGATTCCCTGTGATAAGCAAAGTTTTTGTAATAATGGAGTTAATGAGGAACAAAAAAGCATAAAAAATGAAAGGATGTTTAATAATTTCTATTAATCTTGATAAGGCGTATTTTCAAATTCCATAAGAATTGATTTGGACCACAATACTGACAAAAAGTGTCAAAAGTCTAGTTAATATATTAAATATGTATATAATAGAACACTGATTAGCACTTAAAATAGTTGTGGAGCAACCAAGAAGTTCCCAAGCACAGAGAAGCGTGATAGAGAGTGAAAGAGGTATAAGAATAAGAAAAAACTAAACACATGAATTAAATGCGGAGAATGCACATTTGGCCTCGAGTATAATTCCTTATCCGATATCTATGTTCATTAATCAATGACCTGAATACATGCCATCAATCTCTATTTGCAAAAATAAGTTTATAAAAACAAGGCTAACATCTTTAAAATTAAATCTAATCCTATCTAAGCATTTAAATTCAAACAAATATTATATAAAGAGAATTAAATCTAATAGAACAAATCAAATAAAATTTTGAGAAAAACTGACAATTTTTAAATATGGGCTCAAAAAAACTCTCTATATTACCCAATTTTTAGCCTGGTTTGATTTACTTGGCAAATTTCAAAAATTTTGGTTTTCTAATACTGAACTAGTTGCATTTTATTGAATCAATTCAACCTGTCAACAAAAAACTCTTCTCTGCAGAGTTTATAAGAGGAGGCCATAGCACAAGGGGTAACAAAACTAAAACAATTAATTGAAGAGCAGTAGGAGACAAGCCTGTCCTGCACCCAAGAAATCTACGAGGCTCAATTCATTATGGTTGGTGTATTCATTATATTGTGCATCTGTCTAATAAACCGTGCATGCAGAATAATCAAACCAGTAATTGAGCCCCAGCGACCCTTTTATAGTTAAAAACATTAAAAATGCATTGCATTGTTTTGAAACAAAATCAACCTAAAATCGTCTGAAAAAAAAAAATGTTTTGGCTCCAGAAAGAAAAATAAAAAAAAACTACCGCTAAACATACTGGAATAAGAACTTTAGACTCCTTCAGTAGTGGCTTGTAATCTGGTGGAGCCTTATAACTGGGATTTAAACGTAATATTTCACCTGAAAGCACCAAAAGAAATACAGCATAGTAGTAACAATCAAATATTTACTACGTGAGTGTTCGGGGAATAAAGCTGGTTGGAGTTCTGTGTATGTGTGGGTGTTGTGGGTAGAGAGACAGCATTTTGTTTGGAGAAGAGCCAGTGCGCAAGTCTTGCAGCTTACCAATAAGTTCCCTTCTTTCCAATTCCAGAAGTTCAGCCTTATGACACTGCAATATTTTAGTACGGACACTTAAAACTAACATTCAAACGTTATGAGAAGAATATTTCATAAATTTGATAATAATAATATTAATTATACCTTGTTATCAACATGATTAATCTCTGAATTAGAAGTGGAATCCTGTTTTGGTGACTCGGGACCTTGATCATCTTCAAATTCCAGAGATCCAGACTTCAGCTGCTGAGTGATCTGCTCCACTCTAGTCTGCTCAAAATTTTACCACCAGACAGGCAGTAATATCACTTAATGCCACCTGGAATTTGAAGCTTCCTATGTAAGAATTTAAAAGGAAAGGCACTTTGTGCCTTGGAGTGGCTAGAGACCTTCCATTGACATGCATGAAGCTCCATTTTCATTAAGTGGAGCTGTGTGATTGTGGTGCTAGGGAAAATCATAATGACCAGAGGGTGAAGAAACACCAACGAGAATATGAATTTATGTTTTATTAGATAGTAACAATATAAACAATGCCTAATAGAACATTATAACAACATGAAAAAAATATCAGCATACATTATTATATTATACTGTGTAAGAATGGCTTGAAAGCAAATGGCAACTAACATACCTGATAAGCTAAGGCTTTCCCCTTTCGAACATTAGCATCTTGTGTAAGATCAATACCCCATTTTGTTTTTCTTTGAACTTGCTTTGTGTTCTCTTCCTTGACAACACTTCCAGTATCTGCTTTGCTGCCACCACGGAATATGGGAACCAAGGAACCTGACAACTTATTCTTTGGTATAACAAATCCTGCCTTCGCCCCAAACATGGATACCCTGGGGCTGCTGGCTGAAACTGTAGGTGAACCAGAAAACAGAGCTTGACGAGGTTCTGTGGAAGAGGGTGAGTCGACTTTTGTAGACATTGGATCCTTATGTATTAAGCTAAAAGACCCTGCAAAAGTTTGATCGTTGTTTGATTGTTAAATTCATGGGAAGCTGCATCATAATGAGGCGCATGATTGTTGTTTCTGCATAAACGTGTGTATATATTGACAAAACGGATACATGAGTAGAAGGATGGATGACTAGTATAATTTTATGTCTGAATCATGACAACAAAATATGGGAATTCAAAACAAGAGATGATACACTTTTTATACGGAAGGCCATAAGAGAAAAAAAATAAAGAATAAAACAGTTGCATGCAATAAGTACAATACATATGGATAAGCCCAGCCACATAGTTATTACACATTGCAAATAAAAAATTCAACAAAACAAAGCACATCGGATTTCATGAAGAGCAAAGAAAAAAATAAATTAAAAATACTTTAAGCTTGGAAGAAAGCTTCTATCTAGCAATATGCAAGAGGAGATTGTTATTCTTCACCACTGATATTGAAAAAAATCACACACACCAATATCGAGTAGGTGACATTATGCGAAGTGATGGTGCATGATCAAAACACACCTAAAAAATCTATATTCCACTAGCAATATCTGAAACACTTGAAGCTAGGAAGGGTGGATAGCAACTTATCTGGCTTAAATAAAAAGGGTGAGCCGGAAATACGAATTACCTAAGAGTAGTGGCATCTATTTGCTCTAAAGTTTACCCACGAGTTTTCCACATATAGTTGAGGCCATTAGTTGCCCGCCAAATCTAAAGGCTTCAAATGCACTCTAAGCTTTCATCATTTTGTGGATATGACTAGAACCTACACATCACCAAGTAAAGAAAAACAAAGATAATTGTCTGCCCTAAAACCAAGAATAATGTAGGAACGATTTTTCATTAGCTATGGCAAAGGAAGTCTTCTCATGTATAAGCACACACAAATTAGGATTCTAAACAATAACCAAGAATTTATTTGAAACATTTTTTAAGAAAAATGAAAGTATAAACCATAAATAAATTTAAAAGATGAATGGAGACCTTTTGATCATTCATGGATCAAAGTTTTAGGGAACAATACGAGTAAATAAATAATCTCGCCCGTGATTATAGTTTGAAGGGAACAAAACAAAGAAGTTGAAAACTTTAATCACATGGAAGCTCTTCAATTCCTAGGTTCCCCATCATTATTGAAATGATAGTTGAAAGCGTGTGTGTGTGTGTGTGTGTGAGAGAGAGAGAGAGAGAGA